AAAAAAAAAAACCATTTCGAAACGAACTATAGCTGCACATGTTGATGGACATAGGTTTTTCATTTATTGGTAATTAAACTTTAAATCATCACAATAAAACGAACTCAAAACAACGAAAGCTAGACGAGGGCTTATAACCGGATGTATTTTTTGGTTTACAGGTAGATGGGTCTATAACCAGAGCGGCTTATAAGCAACAGTTTACAGTTTTGACGTGCCGGTTGAAAAGTGAGTATGCAACAAGAAGATCACAAAGCAAAGTGTCGGTAAATCATTAGCCGACAAATTTCTTTCTCATATCGGAATAAAACATTAAATATTTGTAATTATATTTTCAATTTCGTGGATCGTTATCTGCCTCGATTTTAATCTTAATCCTCCTCAGCACGTTCCCGTTTTGTCGATTTTCTACCCTCACGTTAGGTAAACACGATTACTTTGACGTTAAAACAGCACAAAATTAAAGTTGACTTGCTCGATTATCGTAGACCCGAATACTTTGACGTTAAAATAACTCATCATGTGCGCTCGTTAGAGTGTCGCGTAAATTCTATTCCCCCCGCCTGACTTTTCTTTTCCTTTCCGCGTGAAGCATCAAGAAAAAAAGCAAGCTAAGGTTGACCTGACGCCCACCAATAAAAGTGTATCAGAATCCAGTGAGACTATCCTTCACAATGTGTGCTATCAAGCTCGGACAATACGAACATAACGCTGGTGGGTGAATACTGACCACGAGTTCCTTCGTACATTGTTTAGCTGCAATTAGCAAGTGCACGCTAAGATCGCGTTGACACTAGCAATAAAAGATAGCATCCTTATATAATGATATCAATGAAAGCTAATGGATAGTGGGTGCGAAATTCTTTCAACATGTGCTACAACTTGTTTGTGAACTTCATAACAATGTAAAGTCAGACTATGTCTTTTAAAATGTACTAGAATTTTACATCGGCTAAGTTCCTCGACCTGCGTTGTCGGTTGATTCGTTGTTTTAGGTTTCTTTCTTAAAACAGGGAAGATTTAGTTTGAACGGGAAAAGATTTTAAAAGAATATGATGAACTTATTTGTTGATATTAAGCGCTCCGTTGAATGTTTGTATTTCCAACTATGAGGCCAATAATAGATACTTGAATTTTGGAAAAGTAGGTGGAGAAAGTCCTTTAATTTTGATGTGGATATTTCAATAGCCATGTTTCGCTTGGATGACTTGCAATTTATTAAACAATGTCAATAGCACCTGTGAGCACACGAGGTCTTTTTCAAAATCCAAGTCGCACGGTAAATCTGTCAGCAACTGACAGCAGTATTATCTATAGATTGCCATCCTACGCAAAGTTCTTCATCACGCAGGGAAAGTATGGACTGAAAAAAATGTTGATGGGTGAGCATTAGGCCCACGCATTCTTTCAACATATCGTCGAGTTACAGTTAGCTAGTGCGACATATTGAGTCATAACAAAAGATTACCGAATGATGGCATACGCGTGACCTCCTGGCATGGTAGCGGGCAATTGACTTCTCTAACTGGCTCACTGCCTCAACCTGTTTTTGGAGATTTTATAACATCGTAAACTACAGAATACAGGGCCATTTTTAATCATCCACTAAAATAGCCAGCTCGTTTGGTTCGTTTGCTCCTTGGTCATCCACTGCCGTGCCAAACGAGCCCCTAAATATATAGACTTAGTACTTAATGCATAAATAGATTATTCCTCGTTCTTTCATCAACTGCCGAGCCAAACGAGCCACTAAATATATAGACCTAGGACTCAACGCATAAATAGATTAATCCTCGTTCTTTCATCAACTGCCGAGCTAAACGAGCCACTAAATATATCGACCTAGGACTTGACGCATAAATACATTATTCCTTAACTGCCGAGCCAAACGAGCCACTTAAGGCATATATAGAATATTCGTCGTTCTTTTATCCACTGCCGAGCCAAACGAGTCACTAAATATATGCACCTTCAAAAGTGACCCTGTATTGTGCAGTTGCTCCCAAGGTTACTCCGACCGTTTGACGTTTAGCAAACCAGTGGGTAACAACTGTCGGATATGATGACACAGGCACCTTGCCCAACATTACTCCAGTTACACCAAGATTCATTAAAATTACAACTAACTGCTTTGAACAAGCCACTTTCACAATGCATGAGTAAAAATCAAGAGAAGAGTCCATTAGCCCAGATTAGAGGAACATCTTCGAAGTATTTGAACAAACCACAATCCCTTACAGTGAAATAATTATTTCTAGATTGTCTGGTGGCTCGAAGGACAATGGATACTGAAAAAGCCGAGAAAAGACTTTGAGTGAATTTTGTAGCCTGTTTGTGGTACATGCGAAGAAAATGGCGGACAGTTGACTTGAAGGAAACCAAATGAAAGTGCTTCCCACATATTCCGTCTACCCGGCCATTCCAAGCCTTTCCTCGCACGTGTTCCCTTGACATGTTACTAAACGTCTGCCAAATGCTATGCATTTAATTTGTTGCCAATCCGAACCATATTTCAGCCGCAGGTGTTCAAATTACTGGACTACGAAACATCTCGTTTTCATGTCTTGAAGTACAGTAACATCCATGTGTGACACTCAGAATTGTTTTATTTTTCTACCCTTGCATTTAAGACCTGAAACAAAAAAACGAAACCTGACAATACTGCCTTGTTTCACTTGTTTAATTTAATCTAAAGCCTGTTTCAAAACAACCAGCTTTGGGTAAAAACGTCTTCAGAAAATAGTGATGGTAAAGTTAAAGATTCGCGAGGCTTTATTACAAACAAAAGCTTCAACAAAAGCTGCAATTTGTAGAGCTCACTTTCTTTATTAGTAAATAAAGCAGCGTCCACGCCGGAGAAATTTGAAAACGCACCTTTTTTTCTACGGTTAGGCCTACCGTCCACACTAATCCGTCACGAAAACGGAGCTTTTCGTTTTTGAAAACGCCAGCTTTTCGTTTTCGTGTGGACTGAAAACATTTTGAGAACGGAGTAATCGAAAACAATGGCGTCACGATGGTCATGGGCTTTTCCTGACCGAGTTTTCCTCAAACACAAATCCAAAATGACCGTTGATTGTTGTGTTTTTAAAATTCCTCAGGCGTAGTGTGGACGGGAGATATTTTATACGTTTTCAGAGTGAAAACTCCGTTTTCAAATCCATCCGGGACCCAAGACTTACTGCTAGCAATGTACATTTGAAAGAGTGAAACAAGTTAACTATACTGCAGAACAAGTCTGATCTCTGCAGGAAAGAAAATGGAACGGAAAGCAATGTTTGCGCCAGTAAATCATAGTTAGAAAAATAGATTGAAGTTTCAACGGCCGGGATTTGAACCAGTTCAAACCCAATACTTTCGAACCGAATTCAGTATTCTAGAAACTGAACTAAGCCTTTTGGGAAGCCGGCCAAGAGCCTGGTGGGGGCGGGGTGGATAAGCCAGATATGGCAAGCCGTTTGTAGCAAAATTAAATCCTTGCAATATATGTTTAATCCTTTAAATAACGGTTTT